AAAAAGGTAGAAATAAACACAGATGGGAGGATGGGGGTGGTGTTGAAAAATGCCTTATTCCCAATCATGAGTGTGGCAACTCTCAAATCTGTACCTGGAGGTCCCGAAAGAGGGAATAAATACACATGTATCATGAACTGGAGTTTGGTCCTTCTCCTTAGTACCTTGAGGGTAAGCTGTTTTGATGGAAGACAAAGGTGAGGAGAGACGAAAAATGGGGAAGAAAAAAAATCTCTCTGCCTTCACGCGTGCTTCTGTGCATTGTGTTTATTCCTCTTCCTTAAGGCATTAGATCAAAAGGACACATCTTTTTAAATGACCTCAGCAGTGCCTATTTTGCATTTAGAAAAGGCTTCAAGTTTCTTCTCTCAAGTGGTGTTAGGTACTCAGTCATTTGTTTCATCTTGAAAGAAGATGTGACCAGTTGGATTTCTAGGTAACCATCATTATTGATTCAGTGGATTCAGCAGTGTGCCTTTTGTGCCCTTTCTATTTGGATATTCAAACAGATATTTAAGAGATAGTACTGATTGGGTTGTTGAAGATAAGGTAATTGAATCGTGTTCCTTTGTTGAATACCTTTTCAACTAAATTATTGTTGCTTAAAACATCATTTAACGCCAACTCTGTGGCCCTGGCCATTTGGTTCTGGCCATAGTGTTCTTAAAAGGCATCTAGTAACCAGAACTTCATCCATCACTATCCTAAACTGACTTTTTTCTCTCTACTTTCCTCTAACAGAGTGCAGATTGAGCTTAACCAAGAAGTTCATAGTCTGATCAACACTGACCTGATCTACAACATCAGAAGGGAGTTCTGCCTGCCCAGTTGGGCCTCTGTTGACTGCAGATAACTCGGCTTCACTCATTGCCTGTGTGGAAAATTCTCCCTATTGATTTTTTGTGTTTTTTTGTTTTTTTTGTTTTTTTGTTTTTGCACATGGAGGACAGTAACAAAGACGGCAACACAGGCTGATAAGAGCAGAGATCACAGGAGAATTCTTTTCTTACAGGCCCTTGGGACTTTTCCTCTAGTTGGAGTTCTGGACTTTAACAGAGCCCTTTCCAGTCATTTTGGTTTTGTTTCTTGTTACTTTCCCACCACCTTGTATTTTGTTTCCGTACTTCAGAAATGGGCCTACAGACCACACAGTGGCCCAGCCATGGGGCTTTTTTCCTGAAGTCTTGGCTTCTCATTTCCCTGGGGCTGTACTCACAAATGTCAAAAACCTTGGCGTGCCCTAGCGTGTGCCGCTGCGACAGGAACTTTGTCTACTGTAACGAGCGAAGCTTGACCTCAGTGCCTCTTGGGATCCCGGAGGGCGTAACCGTACTCTACCTCCACAACAACCAAATTAATAATGCTGGATTTCCCGCAGAACTGCACAATGTACGGTCGGTGCACACGGTCTACCTTTATGGCAACCAACTGGATGAATTCCCCATGAACCTTCCCAAGAACGTCAGAGTCCTCCATTTGCAGGAAAACAACATTCAGACCATTTCGCGGGCTGCTCTCGCCCAGCTCTTGAAGCTCGAAGAGCTTCACCTGGATGACAACTCGATATCCACGGTGGGGGTGGAAGATGGGGCCTTCCGGGAGGCCGTGAGCCTCAAACTGTTGTTCCTATCCAAGAATCACCTGAGCAGCGTGCCCGTTGGGCTTCCTGTGGATTTGCAAGAGCTGAGAGTGGATGAAAATCGTATCGCTGTCATATCAGACATGGCCTTTCAGAACCTCACGAGCTTAGAGCGTCTGATCGTGGATGGGAACCTCCTGACTAACAAGGGCATTGCCGAGGGCACCTTCAGTCATCTCACCAAGCTCAAGGAATTTTCCATTGTTCGGAATTCACTCTCTCACCCCCCTCCTGATCTCCCAGGTACACATCTGATCAGGCTCTACCTGCAGGACAACCAGATCAACCACATCCCTTTGACAGCCTTCTCAAATCTGCGCAAGCTGGAACGCCTGGACATATCCAACAATCAACTGCGAGTGTTGACTCAAGGGGTCTTTGATAATCTCTCCAACCTGAAGCAGCTCACTGCTCGGAATAACCCCTGGTTTTGTGACTGCAGTATTAAGTGGGTCACGGAATGGCTCAAATACATCCCTTCATCTCTCAACGTGCGAGGTTTCATGTGCCAAGGGCCCGAGCAAGTCCGGGGGATGGCTGTCAGGGAGCTGAATATGAATCTTTTGTCATGCCCCACCACGACCCCTGGGCTGCCCGTCTTTACCCCAGCTCCAAGTACAGCCTCGCCAACGACCCAGCCTTCCACGCTCTCTGTCCCAACCCCTAGCAGAAGCTACATGCCTCTGACTCCCACCACAGCCAAACTTCCCACGATCCCTGACTGGGATGGCAGAGAAAGAGTGACCCCGCCTATTTCTGAACGGATCCAACTCTCTATCCATTTTGTGAATGACACGTCCATCCAAGTCAGCTGGCTCTCTCTCTTTACCGTGATGGCATACAAACTCACGTGGGTGAAAATGGGCCACAGTTTAGTAGGGGGCATTGTTCAGGAACGCATAGTCAGCGGTGAGAAACAGCACTTGAGCCTGGTTAATTTAGAGCCCAGATCCACCTATCGGATTTGTTTAGTGCCACTGGATGCTTTTAACTACCGAGCTGTGGAAGATACCATTTGTTCCGAGGCCACCACCCATGCCTCGTATTTGAACAATGGCAGCAACACGGCTTCCAGCCACGAGCAGACGACTTCCCGCAGCATGGGCTCCCCTTTTCTGCTGGCGGGCCTGATCGGGGGCGCGGTGATATTTGTGCTCGTGGTCTTGCTCAGCGTCTTTTGCTGGCACATGCACAAAAAGGGGCGCTACACCTCCCAGAAGTGGAAATACAACCGAGGGCGGCGGAAAGACGACTACTGCGAGGCGGGCACCAAGAAAGACAATTCCATCCTGGAGATGACAGAAACCAGCTTTCAGATCGTCTCCTTAAATAACGATCAGCTCCTTAAAGGAGATTTCAGACTGCAGCCCCTTTATACCCCAAACGGGGGCATTAATTACACGGACTGCCATATCCCCAACAACATGCGATACTGTAACAGCAGTGTGCCAGACCTGGAGCACTGCCACACGTGACAGCCAGAGGTCCAGCGTTATAAAGGCGGACAGTAAGACTCTGGAGAACACACACACGTGTGTGCACCGAAAGACACACGAATTACATTTGATAAATGTTGCCCAGATGCATTTGTGCATTTGCATACTCTGTAATTTATACGGTGTACTATATAATGGGATTTAAAGAAAAAAGTGCTATCTTTTCTATTTCAAGTTAATGACAAACAGTTTTGTAACTCTTTGCTTTTTAAATCTTAAAAAAAAAAATAGTTGCTGAAGTACTGTACAGGGTTGTACCATGAGAACCCAATGCCAAGGCTAAGGAGTGATTCTTCCTCATGATGCACATTCACCATTTTACTGTTGAAGCTGTCAGAATAAATTCCTTTCTTATGGTTGGTGGTCAGATGAAAAGGCACATGGAAACGGATTCATCAGGGTAGGCTACACAACATGGGGAAAACAAGGAATGGCCCAGATAGATATCTTTATGCTATTTCTATACTTCCTGGTGTGGAAGGAAAGTTAAAAATTTCAAAGTAGAAGAAAGGAGGTAGTTACCCTGATTTGACCCAAAGCAGGAAATCTAGAAAGCATCACGAGGAAGCCCGTTCCTGTAAGATAAGTTAACCGAACCTGGCAGAATCCAGAAAATGATGTGGGCTTTGAAAAGAACTTCAAACCCGGGGGTTGGCTTTCTGACTGGGAGCTTAAAAATCACCCCTCACACCTCCCTGATCCTATGTGATAACAGAGTTAGAGACTTGAGTCTGATTCCGGCCATCTTCAGGGACAGATAGGATGTTCCAGCAAGAAAACTCCCTTTAAAAGTGTTACTATTCAAATTATATGTCAGGTTGAATCACATTCAACAGAGATATATTCTAGAATACTTTTTTAGAAGAAGCTAATAAAATAACGGGAAGAATTATATTGAATGGAATTATTTTTGATAATGAGAATTATTTGGGTAGATTCACCACAGCTATGTCAACATGATATTTAGACCAACAAGGGATCAGTGTTTGGAATATACTAAACTTGTTATTTAACAACTATTGGTACCATTTAGACAAAAGCAAGTGGTCAGTGATTCTGCTACACTTCATCAAACGACTTTGTTAGTATCATGTTGAAATAGCTTGAATTAATACCTTTATCCCCTTGCAAATTTGTCTTCCAATCACCTCACCTATATTTTCGTAACTAGCCGTTTATGCTAGATTTTTTCCCCCCACTCTGCTTAAACTTTGAAAGAGAAAATGAGATCCCAGTCTCGGGTCCACAAAATATCCATATATACTTATACACTTTAAAATGTATACTAATTTTCTCTGCTGATAATTCTATAAGGACATATCAAAGCTGGCTGAAATAATGTATTTTTTTAAAGCAATACTGAGTTTCCACCTTGGACCGATGTTCATCCTATTCCATTTTTGAAATTTCATTTATTCCCTCTCAGTCTCGGATGTCCCTCTTCTTTCGGAATTGTGGAGGGATGATCTATCTTACATTAGTAGGATCACATGGAACAAGTCAGAGAGCACAGGCTCCTTCCCCTAATCTTGGCAGAGTGGGCAAAGAGCAGAGGGCATAGAGAAGAGAGGGATGTCTGTGCTTAATTCTAGATATTTTCAAAGCAATGCCCATTTTCACAAAGTATGTATAACTCACTCCTTTTCATCCCGTAGATGTAGAAGGGCTATCGATCACCTACATTAACTAAAAAAACACACCATTGGAAAATTCCTTTTAAAATCAAATTCTGCCCTGTGTTGTGGATTTCCTTTACCACTGGCCATTTTTTAGGGACCTGTGAAATTGATGTCACACTCATTTTGGCTTTCTCTCTCGCTCTTTCTCTGTCTCTCACTTTTAACAAAATAGAACTGTGATGTGTCTTCTTTGTAAGAGTTTAGGTATAAAACGCTATGCAAGTTTTTCTTTATAGTAAGAGCTTTATTTTCTTTAATAATGTACCCCCCAACTTATATGTTTTAATCTCCCTTGTCCCTCAGAATAAGCAGAACATATAACTGAAGTTATAATGTTGTAGAGGCAAGATCGAAACAGCAGTCAGTTGAACTGAAATTAGCTGTTAATTAATTTGAATTAATTCTAAAGTGACTTAGGTTTCCATATGAGTTTATTAGCTAGCAAAATCTGGCTGTTGCTTGTTGAAAGCTAATTCCACACAGCAAAGGGACAAGACAGTCTGTGAAGGTGATCAGTGTTAACAGTAAGCCATCTACCATTCAGGACAATGACATGGGGTTGTGTGTATTTAACTGGATAATTCCCTTCCACTGTTGTCTTCTCCTTGGCTGTGTAGATAAAACTATGTGTTCACATTATGGTACTTTGACTTTTGAGGGTTTTTTTTTCTCTTTTATCCACAAAATAATCATGCTCGTTTATTTATATTGTGTATCTAACCCCCAGCATCATATTTGGCTGCTGAAACATTTTAGTTTCGAGCCAAGACCGATGTTGGAAAAGTTTCTATGATGTCTTGTGGGATTCACAGAATTATTTGGGGCTTGAGTGGTACAATGAAGTCCTAGTCATGTGAAGGGGCCTCTGCTAAAAGACGTTCCTGAAGAGATAGAACCTAGTTACAGTCTTTGCTTTGATCTTGCGCACAGTATGACGGAGGCTGCTAAAAATAAGATCAGTGTCTCGTTTGTCATAGCATACCTGGGGCTCTCACGCCAGGATAGGAAGCCCATCACGGAATTTGTAATGTCTTACGTGTCTTAGGAAAACTGCTGAATAACCAACCGTCAGTGTTGGCTTAGGCTTTGATTGGCATCTTCAATCGCGGGAAGTGTGTTTTGCTGAAACATCTACCCTCTAATGGAGCCTCTCTTGCTGCCATTGTTATGTACTTTGAGATTAGGAAGAGTCACAGTTGAAGATGCAGGCCAGGACCATGAACCAACAAGACATACACCCTGGCTTATAGAATTGGATGCTATTTGACCAAACAAGCTGATTTCAGATAACACACGGCCACTTTCAGAGCTAGGCAACTGTCACCGTGCAGAGGAAATTCTAAGAGTGAGAGGTGTAGCCGTGATCACACAGATGTTATTGATCGTTATTCATTCCCAGGGTTGTCATTAATACCTGCTTGTTGTGGGGAGATGTGTTTGAACAGGGAGAGGCTCTGTGCTCCCCTCAAAACTGTCAAATACATTAGCAGTTCATCACAACGGATGGCCACAGGCAGAGACAAAAAGTGTGTTTCCCTGCCCGGTTTCCTTGTATGAGAAGTGGAAAGCATTCTATCCCCTGAGAAATAATGTGATTTCTAATTACCTGGATGTCTGTTGGAAATATATAAGATAATGTTCCCCAAGGTTTAAAAAAACAAACAGTGTTGCTGTATTGTGACCAGTCTGGCAAAAAATATTAATGAAGTCGCTAATTTTAAGGCTCCGTTTCCTACCAGTGCCGATCATGATGGTCTTAGTCACTTCCCAAGATCATAACTTACTTCCCCACGTGGAGAACCAGCTCTGCATGCGGTGAGCAGAACACCCAATGCAAGCAAAAGTTACAGGGAACGGCTGAGGCAGATCACCTTTTGACAGTGAACTGGTTAGTTTTCATCAATTTCTTTGTTTACAGCATTTTTCTCTACCCTACAACAAGGAGACATTGAGTTTTACGTTAGAACAAGAACAGTTTTGCCCATGATTTACCTTTCCAGCTTCATGGGAGTGCAAAGCAATTTCTTTGTGCCGCAAAGGGCAATGCAAATACAAAACAAACAAACAAACAGCTCTCCTAATTCTTACTCTTGTCAAAACTGACCTGATGCTCTTTTTTAAAAAGTCAAAATACTAATGAAGAAAGCTATGGCTTACATCCTTCTCTGATTTCTACATCAGGGCCATAAGACAATTGACCACTGGGGGATGCTTGTCACAGAATGTGGGGAGAAAGTTTTGTCCATGTATGATACTGTTGTTACAACAAACCGATCAGATTCTTTTGCTATAGTTTTCATTTTTCTTTTTCTAGAGGCACATCATCCACCAGAAGAGCACAAAGCAAGGCCATCATAACAGGCATTTTTAAACTAGTATGCAACACACACGTATGTGCACACACACACAAACATGCACACTGAGGCATTTATGAAGATGTCCATGGGATATAAGATTTATAACTTTTTGAGGCAAGGTGAAGGCGTCACCACTGTCTGTCCCTCTAAGACCAGTATATATTCACCAAAAGTTAATCCCAATGGTTTGTTTGAACCACATGTTGATTTCCTTCTGGTTTATGTTTAGTGTGTTCTCATAACAAGGGACTGCAAGGGTCTGGAAGATTTCTGCATCACACGTCCTCTGAGACCTACCATGCCGCACACCTTGTTAATTACAAACTTCACTCTACACTATACAGTACCTTGTTGATATATTCAGTAAAGGCTTATTTTAAAAGAAAACCACATTTTGTTTATCTGAGTAAGTTCATTGGGTTATAGCCAACACTTGCATTGTTAATGTGAAAGAGAAATTGTTAATGTGGAAGGCTTCCTGATGATGCATGAGGGTGGCAGGAATAAAGGAGGTGATAGGATTTTTCCTTTTCTCCTACCTTGAAGACAACTTCTGTTTTTAAAGCCATTTAACCTTTTTTGTGTGTGTGAGGGGTTTATATGAAATCTTCATGTTCTTTTCTACTTCCCGACTAACTTGTGTGTTTGTCTGCATATCTTTTCAGTATACACCATACATCAAGAATATCGTTTTGTATTTGTGAAATCTGTATTGCTTAGGATAGAGATAAATATGAATGTAGTTATCCAATCAGAATAGCCCCCCCCCATTTCATAACATACACTATTGGTTTTAAAATGTCAATTTTTCTTAAGAATTCCCATGGTACATTTCTACTTCAGATTTGTTTATAGCTCATGCACCCATACTTCTAATGAGCACTCATGAAAATGTATCTATTCACGTGCTCCAGTTCAACTCGGATTATTCTCACGATTTTGC